GGGCCAAGTGCAGAGTGGTGCAAAGGTGTGCAGGGCCAATGCCCGTGGGGCAAGAAAGAGAGATGTAAGTCAGCCATTTAGTAGCCACGTGACCTTGGACAAGTTATTTGACGTCTCCGAACCTGCTTCCTCACATGGCTATGTTCTCACTAAGTTATTGTGAGGAGTAAGTAATATGGCTGCACAAATGACTTCACTCGGTTCCTGGCACATGGAACTTCTTGATGAGTACTAGCTACTGTTCTTCATAAATAAGGGAAAGAAGGCTGGGAGGCCCCCTTGGCAGCCTTTCATGCGTTCGCAGACTCGATTCACATCCCCCTGGCCTTTCCTTTGGGAATCTGAAGAGGTGGTGCCTAGAGCTCCTAGAAGGGGTGGCTGCCCCCAAGAGAACCAGCAGGGCAATAAGGACCTGCTTCTTCTCTTTTGTGAACGCTTTAATTCACCAGTTCCCAGGGCCCTTGGGGCACTGAGGTGCAGTCCCACTCCACCCCAGAACCCCTCCCCTACCAGGTATATCCACACGCACCTAGGACAGCACCTGTCGACCCAGAGGAAGCAGCTGTCCTTCTGCTCAGCAATGGGGCTGAACAGGTGAAAGGCGTCCCAGGTAAGCCTCCCCTGGCCCCCCAGTCCCCACGGGACTTGGATAAAGAATGTCTGGGACACCAGAGGGCTGACAGCATGGTATCAGCTTCCAGGGTAGCAGAAAAACTTGTTTGTGTGGCTGCCAAGCCCACAGCCCCCTGGGGAAGGGAGGATAATAGGAGGGGAGCTAAGGGAGAGGAGCAAGGAAATGGTGACCCATCCCCGAGGCCAGAGCCCTGGTGAGATGCCCTGTGGGCCTTGGCCTTGGCCTTGGCCTCAGGGCTGCCAACTTGTACACATGGGCTTTGGGTTGTGAGGCCCTCCTGGCCAGAGGACAGGGTTGGCTCAGTCACAGGCTTGGGTGGGGTTGGGCGTGGAGCAGGTGGTCCACAGTGGTATCATCTCGGTCCAGCACAGGTAGCCGACCTGGGTGGAGAACTTCCTACGTGTCAGGCGCTGTATTCACTCCTTCCATCCTCACCGCAGCACTTTGCAGTGAAGACTATTGTTACCCCCAATTTACAGACTAGAAAACTGAGGTCATCCAGCTATGTTATGTAACTTGACCAAGCTCACCCAGCCAGCAACAGGCAGAGCTATCTGAACCCATACAGTCGCCCTCCCGAGGGCATAATCTTAACCACCTCTCAATGCCACGTTGCTTTCCTTCAGGGAGCCTACTTATGTGTTCAATAGCCTGAATATATCGTTAACGTCGATCTTCACCGTAAAACTGAAAATACGAACCTGGCCTGCTTTTCTCTACTGATTCTCTAGCATCTTGCACACAGTAGGTGCTCAATATGAACTCAAATGAATGAGTGATGTAATCAGTCCATCAGTCTTTGAAAGAGTCCTACCCTTGGCCCTCTCCGCGTGGGGCTCAGGGCTCACCTCCTGCCCGTGCCTGAACCAGCATCCCACGAGTCCTGCTATTGCCATGGTGACAGACCGTCAGAGCCAGTGGCTCACTCAGGTGGTCCTGTCCGCTCCCTGGGTGTAACCCTTTCTGGCTGTTGGTCCTGGGAGTTGGTGATTCATACTTGGCAGGAGGCTGAGAGGTGAACTCCACACCAGTAGATATGGGAAAAAGGCATCTGTGTGTGTATGTGTGTTGGAGGAGGGTCCCTGAATTTGAATGTGTACCAGTTGGAGGGTATTTGCCTGCACATTTGTTGGAGATAAATGCCTGGGTCAGGGGAAGGGATATTTTATGTGCTGGAGACAGACTTCAGGTCGGGGATGGGCAGTAGGGTCATCATTGGGCCAGAGGTGCTGTGTGGGGAGGTCCCGCTGAGTGTGCCATGGTTGATAACCCCATTTTTCAAGCCAAAACCCAAAGCACATCATTCAATAAGGGGCTTCTGGTTTGTGAAGGATGTATAGGAAAAATCTTACGAAGATAAAAATTGAATCACATTTAGTTAAACATTTGATAGGTTCCTTTATTGGGAAGAATAAATTTATATGGAAATTCAGGATGATGGGATGCTAGCCCTGGGAGCTGGGGAGGTGGGGCCCACGCTGTTGGGGGGGGTAATGGGTGGCAGAAGGCTCGGAGGTGTTGCTTCAGGGCAGCCCTTCAGCTCAGCATTTAGGGACTCAGAGGACCCAGCCCCCAAAGGGCCCTGTCATGTCCATGCTTCACCCCACCTCAGCCCTGATCACCCTGTGATGTGAACACCTGGTTGAGGGCTGCATCCCCTACTAGAATGTGTCTCTGGCACATCATAGGAGCTCAATAATTGTTGAATGGATTAGCTAATGACAAACAGATGAAAGCCTCCATCCTCCTGCTTCCCCAGCAGCGGAATTCCTGGCTAAACAAAAAGACACCCCCTTACCTTCATGCGTGTCTATGTTTCCTTACAGCCCTGTCCTCCCCACCACACCCACTCAGCAGGAAGGTGTCCAGGTCTCTCTGTGGCCATGGGAGGAAGCTCCGGGCAAGGGGGAGGCTGGAGTGATGTCCACTCCCTGGCCAGGCCCCACGTCAGATTCCCCAAAGCCCACAGTCTGAGAGTGACATGAGACCTGAACGGGCTCTGCAAGCATCAGCTGTCTCTCCCCTGCCCCAGCCAACCCCTGTAGTGGGCCGGGAGGACAGCCTCTAGCTACCAACCGGGTAGAGGCCGATGCCTTGCCAGCCAGCAGAGGGTTAGCCGAGAACAGCCCGTCCCAAAGTCTAAAGTTAGAAGATGAAATTGTCTCCACTCTGTGCTTTCCCTAGTTGATCCAAGAGATGATACAAGCCCCTAACGGTGCACAGATCCCTTTAGAGCCGGGGCATGGGGCTTGTGGGGAGATACAGTAGCTTCCACCTGTGTGTGTCGAAGGCCAGGGTATTGATTAGTTCCTACCTGTGGAATCAGTGTCCATCCATCCCCTTCCCCAATCCTGCCCATCGTCCAGGGCCCAGCTCAGGCAGTACTTAGTGAGTACTTACTTACTTTGTGCCAGGAACTGTTCCGTGCGCGTGTGTATATATACATACATATATTTCATACCCATTCAATTTTCATGACCTTATGAGGTAGATCCATTATCCCCATTTTACAGATGGGGAGACCAAGACAGAGGGGTTAGGTGAGTTGCCCAAGGTCACACAGCTGCTACCTGGTGGTATAGGGATTTAACGCCACCTCCTCTGTGATGCTCTCCTTCCTTGAGCCTTCCCGTGTGTGAACAGTCTCTCCCTGATGTGAACTCAGAGATGCTGGTTCTCGCACATGTCGAAGCCCCCTTACCAGGATTCCCGATAGACCGACATGCGCATCCCCCACAGCACCATGCACAGGGCCCCGGAGATGGCTGACTCTGCGAATGAATGGCAGTGTGTGAGTATGTGAATGAGCCAACAAACTGGTTAATGAGGAATAGAGAAGAGTGGAATTGGGATTTGCCCAGGTGAATTCACAGCCTGGCGGGAAGGGTACAACGACGAGAGTGGGGGCCCAGGTGGGCTGGGAGCAGCGATCCTTAACGAACCGGCTTGCCACTGGGTGCCCAGCACGGGCCAGGGTCCTTGAGGGGCAGTCAGTCATGAAAGGCCCCCCAGCTTCAGGCTGGCCAGGAAGAGCCCGCGAACACACAGGGAGCAATGCGAGAGCAAACAGTACAGTGGCGACTGCCTGTGAGCATGGAGGGTCAGCCGGAGAAGTCGGACCGCCTTCCTGGAGGAGGTGGAGGAGCAAGAAGAGTGGCCCTCAGTGGGAGGATGAGAGGGGAGGCCCGGAGAGGAAGGTGTACACAGACGGAAGAGGAGGCAGCAACGGCCATGGTGACTTGGGGAAGCTGGGGAAGCCGCTCTGGGGACATGGGACACCTGTAGGGGGGCAGGAACGGACATGGTGACTTGGGGAGGCTGGGGAAGCCGCTCTGGGGACATGGGACACCTGTAGGGGAAGCATAAAGTGAAGTTGGTCGGGGAGACAGGGGTGGGCACAGAAGCTTCCCTCTGAGCTGGTGTCGCTTGTGTATGAATTTTGCCAGTACTTTGAATATGTACTTCAAGTTTTAATAGGTACTTAAAATAAATGCTCATTCTTAAGATTGAATTAGGTCTTTAACTTACATTTATTATAAAAGGAACTTTTATACTAAATAGAAAATTAGAATAGGATAGAATGGAATAGAATAGAAAATGACCATAAAAATAAGCACAAAGGAAACCAAACTAGGTTTCTGCTTTAGTCCATTCGGGCTGCTATAACAGAACACCAGGGACTGTGTGGCTTATAAACAACAGAAATTTATTTCTTACAATTCTGGAGGCTGGGAAATTCAGTATCAAGAGTGTCTGCACTGTCAGGTAAGCGCCCTCTTCCTGGTTCATAGACAGTGATCCCTCACTGTGTCTTCACATGATCGAAGGGGCATGGGATCCCTTGGGGTCTCTCTTATAAGAGACTAATTCCATCCATGAAGGTTCCACCTTCGTGACCGAGGCACCTCCCGAAGGTCCCACTTACTAATACCATTGTGTGGCTTTGGATGTCACCATATGAATTCTGGGGGGAAGCAAGCATTCAGAACACAGCAGTTATTGATTCTTAGCTGAGTACCACTCCCTCTGGAAGCTTCCGAGCCTCAAGCCTGCTCTCTCTCTGTTACGAAGGAAAACAAGCACGTGTTGGAGAGGTGCTGTAGGCATACTAGCATCAAACCAAGACTTTCTCCTTGACTCATTCCAAGAGACAGAGCAAAGGAGGAGCAGAACATCCTCTGCTCTGTGAATCAGTGCTGTCTGCTGCATGGGCCGCATCTTCCAGAACACTTCCCATTGCTCCTTGGGCCAGCATCCGTGTTAAGTTACTGATTCATCCCTAACACACAGAGAGGAGCCCTGACCGCAGCCCGTGCCCACCTGGCCTGGGCCCCAGGCATACCTGGAATGGTACTCTCTCTTGCAGGGAACACCAACAGTATCTTCGCCCTGGACTATATCAGCGGAGCGCTGACCTTGAACGGCCTACTGGATCGGGAGAACCCCCTGTACAGCCACGGCTTCATCCTGACCGTGAAGGTGAGAGTCAGGTGGCAGGCAGCTTCGTCCCGTGGGGAGGGCTGCCCACACTGTGGTACCAGCCTCCAGCAGTGCCGCCACAGAAGCCCCCAGCCTCTCGCCCTGCATGGTTCCGGGGCTCGTGCCCAGGACCCCGTTAGGAAGGGACCACACTTACCAGGGCGTAGGCCGAGTCAGGGCCTGGTGCTGGGCACCTCACAGCCATTATCAACAATTACATAGAGTTAGGACTTTTATCCCCATTTGAGGAATGAGGGGGCACATAGGAGGTGCTCATCCGAGGTCCTTAATGCTACCTATGATTCCAAGTTCTCTGTTGTAGCCAACTCAGTTCTTATATTGACCCCGTTTCTGGGGTTTGTCCCATTTCTAATTCTGACAGCTCCCCTGGGGCTATTCCCTGGTTAGGAAGCAGTAACATAGTGGGGAGAGGGGGAAACCGCTGGGGTCCTTACCCTGGAGGTGTGCTGGAGCCATAACCCTCTGGCCCCTGTATCCCCTGCCACTGATGGCCGGCTTCAATTAAAATCTCTGATTTGCAGAGCCATCATTCCCTGCGAAACCCGTTTAGGGTATGGACTCTGCCTGGGCCACAGGGGTCCTCCTCAGCCCCTCCCATCGATTGGGGCGGGGGAGGTCACAAGGCCTGAGGAGAAGGGCTTGGGGAAGGAGGTCCTTGCATCCTGAGGATAATGGAGCAGCCCAGCCTGGCCCTTGATTGCTCTCCTTGACCTTGGGAAGGCTGCAACAGCAACGGGTTGATTAGCCCTCCCTGGCCAGCTGGTTCCAGCTGGTTCCACACTGCCACCCAGTGTGCTCACGTGGGCCGGGTAGGGGCGAGGGGAGAGGGACTAACACATTGCCCCTTCCCTACCCTGCATCAAGCCACCAAGCCAGGGGCCCCTCTCTGCCTCCCCTCCTCTCTGCTTGCTTCCTATGGAGGCACGCAGTTCCAGTTGAAGAGAACTGTGGCCTGGCCCCAGCGCCACCCCCAGCTCACTGCGGGACCCCGAGCTCAGTTCTTCCATCCTTATATAAAATGTGAGGATGAGTTCCCAAACTTGGCTGTGAATCCAAATCTCCTGGGGAACTGGTAAAAGATAGCTAGTCCTGGGCCTCCTGCCCAGAGATTTGGGTTCAGAAAATTGAGTGAGACCTGGGGATGGGTATTTGGGGGCCAGCAGGCTCTGGTGCAGAGACAGGGGACCCAAGGATTTGGCACTCAGGATTTCTCCCTGAGTCTGACACAGACCCTCCTGGTACCTAGCACAGTGTTTGGGCCATAGCAGATGCCAAATTCAGTCTTGATTACCTGCTAGCATAAAAATTCTTGCCCTCAGTTTTATCATCTGCCAAACTGAATAGTCTCCCCTTGCCCCTTGATGAGCCCCCAGATCTGTCTTATCATCACCACGCCACCTCATCCCCTGGTTCTGGAATCCTACTGCCTAAGTTTGACACCTACTCTGACTGTGTGTCTATATGCAAGTTTCTTAACCTCTCTCAGCCTCAGTTTCCTCAAAGGTAAAATGGGGATGCTAACGATAGAATCTTCCCGGGCTGGTGGTGAGGGGATGGGATCATTTACATAAAGCACAGGACCTACCATTGAGAAAGCCTTGGTAAATGATCATATTGTGATTA